TTAGGGACGACCTCGTGCTTGCTTTGCTTAAAGTCATATTTGATTTCGTCAATTGGTTTTACATCAGGCATAATAAAATAATATTAAAGATATTTAGAAAATAATTTAATATTATTTATTGTATGAAAGCATTGCTATGATATGAATGGTGTCCATCGTAGTAGAACAGGCTCTTTCATCAACTTCAATCAATAAGCATTGAAGATAATTAGTTTTGTGTCTTGCTCGCGTGTGCAATGAAAACCCAAGTACTGTGCCCCACCAATATTCTATTATGCATGAAAATAATAAGATCAAATAATTATTTTTAATAATTATTTCATCTTATTATTTAATATGGAAAGAAGTTATTCAGATTATATTGATATAATAGATGAAGTAGAGAATATAGAACAAGTAATAATAACTGACAGCAGATGTAAGAAAGTATGCTTTTATACATTAGAATTAATAAAATTAGGAATACAATATATCAAAAATAAAAATGTAAATATTAATATAAATGCCAAGAAAGAAAAGAGTAAAAGCAAAGAAAGACCAATGCCAGATATTGAAGCTCGGAAAAAAACAAACAACGGAGAGTGTTAAATCAAAGGGTGAAAGTAAAGCTGTAAAATGCGATAAATGTAATCATGTTATGAATTCTAAGAATGAATTGACGGTAGATAAAAAAGATGGTGTTAAGGTTAGTTGTGTCCCATGTATGTTTTCTTTTAAAAAACAGACAAAGATTTTAATATTCAGAAAAAAATCAGGAGGCGATATGGTTATTGAAACTAACGAACATTTGATTAATGTTAGTTTCAACAGGGACATAAGTTAGTATTTAAAGAGTAGATTTTACATTAAATCAATTTTATAAATAAATAATTAAATAGATAAATATCTAATTATTTGTATAATCATAATGCCAACTATGAATAGAGAAGACCATAGAGTTATAACTTTTGACGATGAAGAAAATAAAGACCTATTCAATGGTGATGAAAACTTTGCTAAACAATTGAGTGAAGAATATTTTTATTGGTTTGATGCTAAATTCAATGATAAATATTTTTATGAAAGGTATAACTAAACCAGATAATTTTGATACAATATTTTATTTGTTTGAAATTACAGGTGGCGGGGAGAGTTTAATACAAATCAAAAATAAAATTGGTGAAAGACTGTTAGAATATAATTTATTTACATATATAACATTAGATTATTCAGGTAAACTGTATAATAAAACGCATAAATAAATATTTAAATAAATAATTATATAAATAAATATATATAGAAATGTCTGAAGTTGAGAATGATGCTATTGCTGAACTATCAAGGAAGATAATGACAGTTAGTAAAAATGTTAAACTGTTGTACGAGATGATAAAAACTATTGACCAGAAACTTGATGCAAAGGCATACGAACCAAATGATAACAATGAAGAGAAGGAAAAGATTGATAAGATCTTTGAAAAGAAACAAATAGGAAGGCCGTCTGGCAGTTTTCAAGATAAGCAAAAGCAATATATGGATATGTTAAATAAGAACAAAATTAATCTCCAAAAGCAGAAACTATTGAATTTTATAAACTGTTTAAGAACGAAGAAGGAAAATACGAATTAATATAATAAATATCTAAATAGTTCTAATAATATGAATTTATTAGAATTATTTTCAGGCAGTGGTTCTGTTGGAACGACTGCCATCAAAAACTAAAGCAGAATGTGGGGATAATTATGTAATACATAAGCAGGAAGATTTATACAAAATCCCTGCTGAATTGATTTGTGAGATTTTAACGAGTTTGGTGGATTAAAGAAACGAGTTTGGGATTGGAGTTCAAAATTCAAATTTCTAGGTTCATCCAACGACAACACTAAAAATCACATTACAATAATGCAGGCGGGCAGGGTGCCCAAAAATGGCGGGCAGGCGGGCAGGGTGCCCCGAAAATGGCGGGCAGGGTGCCCAAAAATGGCGGGCAGGGTTTATGACTAGTAAAATAGTCCATAAACCTTACAATAAAAAACATTGTAAGATTTATGTTTTGAAATTATGGGGATTCTATATTTTGGGATTTTGGGAAAATATATTTGGGAATTTGGGATTTTGGAAAAATATATTTTGGGATTTTAGAAAAATATTTGCAAAATTTATGTATCAAATCTTGAGTTGAGGTTCTGTTATGAAATGATGAAAAAATATTATGTGAATTGGTCGGTTGAGGGGATTTTATCTGAATGGGGGCAAGGCCTTTGGTAGGTAAAAGATCCGTCTCGGACTGGGGCATAACGTTCTTCTAAGGAGAGCCGCTCACCGGGCTGGAGGTGAAAAGATCCGTTTCGGACCAGGATGAAAGATCCGTCTTGGACTGGGGCATAACGTTATTCTAAGAAAAGGCCCCACCGGGCTGGAGGTGAAAAGAACCGTCTCGGACTTGGGAATAATGATATTCTAAGGTGAGGCGCTCACCGGGCTGGAGGTGAAAAGATCCGTCTCCGACTGGGGCATAACCTTATTCTAAGGAGAGGCGCTCACAGGGCTGGAGGTGAAAAGATCCGTCTCGGACTGGGGCATAACGTTCTTCTAAGGAGAGGCGCTCACCGGGCTGGAGGTGAAAAGATCCGTTTCGGACCAGGATGAAAGATCCGTCTCGGACTTGGGAATAATGATATTCTAAGGTGAGGCGCTTACCGGGCTGGAGGTGAAAAGATGCGTCTCGGACTGGGGCATAACGTTATTCTAAGGAGAGGCGCTCACCGGGCTGGAGGTGAAAAGATCCGTCTCGGACTGGGGCATAACGCTATTCTAAGGAGAGGCGCTCGCCGGGCTGGAGGTGAAAAGATCCGTTTCGGACCGATGAAAGATCCGTCTCGGCAGGGGTATAATGTTATTCTATTGAGAGGTGCTCGCCGGGCTGGAGGTGAAACGGTCCGTCTCGGACTGGGGCGTAACGTTATTCTAAGGAGAGGGCGCTCACCGGGCTGGAGGTGAAAAGATCCGTCTCGGACTTGGGAATAATGATATTCTAAGGTGAGGCGCTCCTGTGCTTGGCCGAAAACGGGTTTACTTGGGGCGAGGTCTTTGGGGAGTTGGGAAATTGGCCGTTTAGCGCCCTTTTTTCAACCCAAAAGCTGGGGGTGACAAAACGGTGACAAAGGGTGACAAGCTCGGCAGGATGGATTTTTGCAGCTTTTTCGGGCCAAAAACGGAAATCAAGAGGGGCGTACGTGTCAGGACCCTGTTTGGCCCAAAAACGTGAAAATCGATAAGCAAATGTCATGGCTCCGTGCGGAGATGCCCGACTCCACGGCTCGATGCCGTCGGCCGGGCAGAGGATCGGCAGGGGAAAGGTTGCACGCCTGCGCCTCGAAGACGAGGGGGGGCAGCTTGGGCTCCGGGCGCCACTCGGCTCTCCAGGCTTGTGGGCTGCGCTCTCCCTTAGCGTCGCAGCTTCAGAAAGATCTCGCGCATGAGGGGCCACCCAGCTGCCCTGCAAGCTCGGCATCTCCGCCGAGAAGGTGCGGGAGTTCTGCGTGCGCGCAACGCCCCGATGCGCGTGCCGAGCTCGGCGGCCTCGTGGACAGCTACAACCCGGCACCGCGCCGTGTGCTTCTTGGCCTTCGACGGGCATTGCTACATGTACAAGGCCGTGAAGCGGGTGCTGGAGCGGAGTGGAGGCGCTTCAACGTGGCGGACGTGCAGCCGGGGCTGTTCTGGTGCGGGAGGCGAGGCGCCAGCTCGGGGAAAGCCCCAAGGTGGCCATCAGCAGTCCTGCGCAGCACTGCGGGCTCTGGCTGAGGCACGTGGACCAGGTACTCGTAGTACTTGTCACGGAAAAAGCCCTTCCCCAGCTTGGTCAGCCGGTGCTCCCCGCCCTGCAGGGAGCGCACGAGCTTCTTCCGCCCGTTGCGCAGCAGGATGTAGTCGTTCGGGCCTTCCCGCATCAGCTCCCTGCTGGGAGCGCGCAGGCCCGGGTGCGAGTAGCCTGGTTCTGGAGCAGTATCAAGAGCAGTGTTAGCTACAATATCCTCTACCCACATTGATTGCTGCTACGCTTTCACATTTCATGAGCCAGCACATGTGGCAAGAATTGGTTTGGTTGCACTGGGGCTATGGTTCCGGAAAAGCAACGTCTATGCACTTTGCTTAAAAAAGAGAGAGAAGAGAAAAACAACACCAATTTAGAAAATTGATTCCTTTTTCCCCCCAGCTCTCCTTCTACACGTCGACTCTAGAAGATGTAAGGAAAAACACCGTGGAGGCCATAAATGGTTGCTTTTTAAAGTGAATGTCTGGAAAACACACAAATAAATGTATGTGAAAAACGCAGGCCTCCACAACGTCCCCTTCGGTTTAAAAAAAATAAGAACAATCCAGCGCGCAAGCAACCGACCACTCCTTCTACGAGGCTGGAACACTGAACATATGCTGAATTCTGGCCTTGACATTGCCGATGGTGTCGCTGTCCTCCACATCAAGCATGATGATCTTGCCGTTGGTCACCATCAAGATTTGTGTCATACTGATAAGGACAGATACTTCATCGAACCGCTGGGGCTGGGATTGCTAATTCCCATTTGAGAGGAGTAGCAACAACACGTGCATTTTCAATCAACCTTGCAACATGCCCCCATCACAGAACAAAACGAACAAACCTAACCTTGCCCATCTTTTCCATAGGTGATATCTCCCAAAAAATATTACACATTGTGCCACCTTCACCATCCAATTATTTTGATGCTGTAATCTGTTTGGAAAATACCGAATTTGATTCATATTTGAACTCATAAACTTCAGTATTTGAATAAACTTGACATGGTGGATTGTTCTTATTGCGTAACATCTTTTGCATATGTTCGTACTTGATGGTTTTGCGTTGTCCGGCTATGCCTTAGCGCCAGCCTCAAAAGGAGGCAGGCCAGCGCATTGAAACGGTGTCCGACAAGTTGCAGATTCTGAGTCCCATCCTAAAATTCGGGCGTCCATTTGGGAGTCCCTCTGATCGGCCCGTCATGACGGAGATGGACGGAGTGATCCGGGAGCACGAGGCACGCTGGCACGCTCTGAGGGGCTTAAGCGCTCTGAGCGCTTTGCGACTCTCAGATTTGAGGTCTACTTTGCCACATTGGCAGAGCAGGCTGAGCGCTATGACGAGATGGCGGAGCACATGAAGTCAGCTGCATCCTTGGAATAGAGGGAGACGGGGGAGAGGGGGCTTGGGGCTTGGAGGCACCAGGCAAAGGGCGCCTGTCAGGCTGCGCTCTTCGAGCAGGAACTAGATGCCGAGGCGAGATCTTCAGGTTGCGCAGCTTGCAAGTCTTGCAGTGCCAGGAGCGGAACCTCCTGGCAGTTGCTTTCAAGCAAGCAGTCCGTGGCTTAGTGTGGAAAGTGGCTGCAGTAAATGAAATTGGCCTGGCTCAGGTCGGTCAGCGCAGATGTGCTTGGCGCATTGTTTGCGCAGCCGAGCAAGAGGAGCAGGCGGCATTTCAATTTTGTGTGCACCCGCTCGGAGGCGGAGCTTCCGAAACATTTGTTACGAAGTCAAACTGCCAAAGGTGCGAAGTTCGGCCACGTGGCCAAGGGTATTTGTCGGCTTCATCTCAAGCTTAAGATGCCACGAATAGACGGCCAATGAGCAATTTTGAAAGCAGAGCTGCGCTTTTCGACGTCCGAAGAAGAGATGAATAGAAAGGAAATGGGATCTACATCTCAGGAACTTGCTTATGAGGTAGATCCCGTTAACAAGACTATAATTATAAATACATAGTAAAGAATATGTGTTAGAAGGAATGGACAGATGGAGGCTTACCAATTTCCAGGATTAACAGACGGGAAATATCTCTCACGCACTTATGTCTCTCGTGAACTCTAGAATCCAGGATAGACAGCTCTTGGAAGAGAATTAGATGTGGAAAGGTGTGGTATCTCCAGACCAAAGTCTAAGAATGTTCCGACGCATCAGGTTGCCGGAGTACTTTCAGAGTTTTTCGACTGGCATACAATCATTGCATGTCATTGGCAGAGTTCACCTTAGTGCAACCAATCGCAATGCTGTTCATTCCTCGATGTGGATGCCGGTGATATTGGGGAAGCCACTGTTCGGGATGTTGGGGAGGCGGACGCTGGGGAGCAGACCATGCTGGAGAGAATCAGGATGGTTCAGGATTGTGGGAATGCAGCATGATGGGGATGCAAGGGCGCTGCTGTGGCAGTGTCCAAAATGTAAGGCTGAGGATGCTTGGCAGCTCGCAACAATGTTCAATGGCGATGTCTCTCCAAAACTCGCAACGAGCATAGTTTTAATGCTCAACGAGCGCAAAAACAAACAGCAGCACAACGCAGTAGCAATTTCGATTGCTCCATTCGGAAGTTCCAAGTTCTCGGAATGCTTCTTGAATTCAGGCGAAGGGCAACCACATGACCACTGCCAGTGCGCGTGGCTACCGAAAGAAGGCAGGCGCTTGAAACGGCGTTTGTTGCGCTTGTAAAAGTGTTGCTACGCTTGGTGCGCGAGATCGAAGCAGAGCTCACGAGCCTTTGTCAGACGATCCTGGCTTAGCCGCCTCGACTTAAGTCTGTCGCATTGTGAAGCCTGTCAGTTCTGATTCTGTCAGCTGAATTTCCAATTGCTGTCAGTTGCTCAATTTCCAGATTTTTCATTTGCCTGTATTGTTCCAATCCTGTTCCCATGTTTGCCTTGCCAGGCGCTGCTAACAGACAAACTGATCCCTGGCGCGACCACCGCAGAGGCCAAGGCGCCTTGGGAAACTTCTTTGGACTTGCAGTGCGCTTGGGCGTCCTTCATACCGAAGGTGTCTTACTACAAGGCACAAGGCGACTACTACAGGTGCTCCGAGTGAGTGAATTGTGTGTGCATGCCATTTGCGAAGGGATTGGCTTCAAATATGTCTGCTTTGTGTGCCTGGGGCATTGTCAGGATGTCTCAAAGACACACGGTTCACGTTTGATACAAACATTTGGCCACACAGAGCTCAACACCCATTTTTGGGTATGCAAACTTTGATAGAAGGGCTTGGGATGGCTTAGGGCCTCCCTCCCTCTCTCTCTCTCTCTCGTGCTGCGGAGGGTGCGAGCATGCATGCTTGGCCCCGGCCCTGTTCGGCGAAGTTTGGCTGAATGTCCTGAGCTCAAACTTCACTGTCCAGACATGAGGGGTCGGGTGGGGTCCGGAATTCGCGAGGCGCAACTCTGCCGATGTGGTCATAAGGCAAGTCCCCCTACAAGGTTTCATCATCAAGCACTTGTGACGCGCCTGGTGGCAAGGGGGGGAAAAGTGCCTGGATATGTCCAGGCTGCTTTCCATGGCGCCTCACAACGCGAATCGTTTCGTGATGCAACTTGCAAGCACAGCAGTTGCCCGATGCCCAGCTATAGCTGCGCAGTCCATTTGTACAGATGGCTAGGGCTCTGGCCTTCCATGCCTTTCCACACCGCACCAAAAGTCACCGACCGACTGAGCGGGCAAGCCGAGCTCCTGCGCGTTAAATTTCTGCTCCCAGACTCCCAGCCTGCCAGACCATTCGCTCGTGCGTAGCTCGCCCTGCCTTAGCCAAACGCTTCCACCTGCCAACACGCCAGGTCTGACTGCCACTTGTCCAAATCTTGCTGATCACATCACGACCACACTTGGACGTCAAACACTACAGTGGCTTCGAACACCCTGCGCTTTATCGCCTTGTCGGTGTGCCTATTGCGATGGAAGGCATTCCGCAAAGGTCTAAAGGCTTAGCGGCTTTGCCGGCCGCAGCACCTCGTGCCCGCCGCTGTCGGTCAGGTCTGTCTGCTTCTTGGATCCACGTTCCAAGGTTGTATGCATGTGCAATCCGGAGGTGCTGTCTACCTCGCGTGGTGTCAAGGGCAAGCTGAGCTTGCTGCCTTATCATGACGCGATTTCTCAGCCTCGGTCTTGCCAGCAGAGTGCTTGAAGGCCTCTTTTCGCCATCACATTGTCCAACACCGCACTCAACATGACAAATTCTTCTACCCCCATGCTGCACGGACCTGGGTTAAACTGGTTTCTGCCATAAGCACTCCTGCTTCTGCCCGGATTTCCTGAAGCGTCGCCATGTCAAGGACGGTCACTCGGCCTGCCCTCGTGCTACGATGTGCAAATCATGCATTCCAAGGTGGCGGCCATGAGGCGTATCCGGCGTATCCGCCACATGCTCAAGGCCTCCACGCGCAACTTGGCTCTGCACCTGAGGGCACACTCCCATCCTCCCATCCTCCCATCCTGGCCATGCAAAGCCCTTAGCCGAGTTCCGCGCTCAGGCTTTGAAGCGAGCGCGGAGCATCGCCAGGAATCTTCAATTCTCAAGTTGATGCTTGCGTCTTCCACGCCAAGCTTGGACAATAGCGTCTAGATGAAGCGGAAGTGCAGCGACTCGGAAACTGCACGCACCTATTCAGCGACTGTGATGCCGCAACCAGGACGTGTCGCGATGCGCGTCGAATCTAGCGGCTACGTTGCGGGATTCAACAACGATTTAGCAAGTGTAAGTGCCGTTGCAGCTATGATTCAGCAACGAGTCCGTTTAGACTGTCGCCCGGCACATACTGCGCGTGTCTTACCTGACCTGGTAGGCACGTGCATGAATTTGAAGAAAACCCGTCTGTTGAGTTTCACAGATATCCACGTAACTCCCCCGGCCACGCGCATGGACCGAGATGCTTTCACAAGCCTCCCCGTTCACCGTCCCAGGTTGGTTTGGTGCCTCATGGCAGGTGAGCGCACAAAAGGAATCATGCCTGTCCGGCCTGTCCCTCTTTTCGAATCTTGCAAGGCCGATTGCCCTTTCGCTGAATTCTTCCGATTCGGGTGAGGTACATGGCAGAAATCAGCGACGACATGGATCGGACGCGATCCACAACGGCGGCGAAGGCAGCATACGAGGCCGACACTTCGAGGTTTCGATTGGCTTCCGGCTTTTTCTGGCTTCCGGCCATGCGGTTAGCCATGAGCCATGCGCAGAGGAAACTTGCCCCTAGATCGTTTGTTGTTCGCGCCACTATCAGTTCAAGCCGTGTGTAACGCCAATTACTTTGGGTGTTTAACACAAATAGGGTGTGGCTGGACACGGGACACGGCCGCTTCCAAATTGCACGTCGTTTGACACACACGCACACACACAGACATTGAATTGAATTTGGATGTCACATTGCGCAGCATTCCGCTTTTACTTCAATTGGCAACTGCAACCTAGCCAACCTTGAGTCAATCTTATTGAGGCAAAGGGGAGTTGGATCAATGCACGCTTTGGACAAAGCGAGCCTGAATCTGTGTATCTCTGTGGTTCCATGATCTGCGATGTGAGTCGCAGGATGGCACCAAAGTGGCCGAGACCTCGTTGAAGGTGACCAGCCCATTCCGCCTCGGACTGGCCTCTCGGCTGAGATGCGGGTGCAATTCTTGGTGTGCTCTTGTGCTGTGTGTTGCCGTTCTGTTTGGTGTCTTGTGCTGTTCGCTGTGCTGTTTGTGCTGCTCGGTGTGCAGGCTTTGAACCACGCCGTGTTCTATTACGAGGCTCGGGAGCACCTTGGAGCGGCACCTTGGAGCGGCACAGCGCACGGCATGGATCCAATTGGTCCCAAGACACGCCGTTTGGCTCGAGATGCTCTCATGGCAGGCAGGGGCAAGCCGGTCAGCCGGTCTGTGTAGCAGTTCAACTGGATTGGGCTTTGCTGAGCTTAATTTGCACGTAAAGCAGGTGGCAACAGATTTGGTGGCCAAGCATCGCCGTTGCAGTACACATAGCAGACTGCAGTGCAGGATCCTATTTTCTGGACCAAATTCGCAGATTCGGGCTGGAAATGCCCTTTGTGTCGAACCAGGAGCTTTCAAGTCGACTCTGTGCGCGTCTTCGTGAAATTGGATGCAGTGAGCCAGGCAGGGCTGTCGCATAGTGACATAGGGTTTACAGACCAGTCGCCTAGGATGGCCTGGTGCAGTGGATTCGGAAGGCTCGCTATGCCAAGACCATGATGTGTTTGGTCCTTGCCACTGTTGCCACTGTTGCCACTGTTGCCACTGTTGCCACTGTTGCCACTGTTGCCACTGTTGCCACTGTTGCCACTCTTCTCTCTCTCTCTCTCTCGCTTTTTCTATCGACTCTATCGACTCTATTTGTTTTCTCAATGAATGCGACATTCGTGGAGGTGTCCAGCGTGGCAGTGACGGCAATCTTTGCGGTGCGGCGCAAAGTGCGCGATACACCAAGCAACCTGGCCACACCGAGCATATGACACAAAGGTAGCATAAGGTAGCATAAGCTAGCCAGATAGACACGTTGACAGGGTCACAAGTCAATGCAGCCGACTTAGCACTGCTTTTCGAGCGCATTTGAGGATCTGATAGCGCCCTCAAGAACAAGCTGGCAGGACCAATTTGGAGCTTGCAAGCTGGCATTTTCTGGCCATGCTGACAGTTCGCCAGGAGCTGGCGTAGCTCGGCGGAACATCCTCGTCCTTTCCACGGAGACGTATTCGGATGTTGCACCAGATGCTTTGCTGACCCTGCTCTACAGCAAACATGCTGGATCGAGGCCAGGTTCGTTTCTCTCTTTTCCTTTATCATGATTTAGTCTTTTTCTGCTCATTTTCCTTTTGTTTCCTTTCTTCCCTTGTTCTTTAGTTTTTGGCCCGTGCAGCTTGCGCCTTCAGGAACTACTTCATCTGCGAGAGGGCAGAGACTGAGCGCCAGAAATGGTTTAAGGAGTTGCTGCCGCTGCATCCCGGGAAGACCGTTTGGATGTCCAGCGATTTTCAGATTCAGAGCTGACAGCCCGGAAATGAGAAAGTTCGGCATGGCAAGTATAGAGAGTCTCCGATCGATTTCCTTGTCTAAGTGTTTCGATGTGCCTCGCAGGTGATGAATGCTCCCACGGAAGCTGTCCGGATTGGCCGCAAGGCACCGGGCATTTTCGGGGTCCCGGGGAGCACGAAGTCGGGGAAGCGTTCGAGGCCTTCGAGGACGCCGTCCGTGAGATCGACAACCTCGGGGAGGATGGCGCCAAGGTCCGGGGCGGGTCCCGGGGCGGGTCCCGGGGCGGGTCCGGGGCAGGCCATGGCATAGGATGGCCCGCATGCGGGACAGCTGCCAGGAGTCGGCTCTTGTGATGCAGCTGCTGCGAGACAATATCACGCTCTGGACGCGGGGATGGGGATTGAGAAGCTCTGGGGAATAAGGAGGGGAAATCATGTTGCCAAGCAAATCAAGCATGTGAGCGTTGTGATTGGTTTTCTTGCTCCTGTTCGCTGTCCTGATACTTGAGTCATGTACTAACCTTGTTTATTTGAGATCAGCCCTTCCTGGCACGCTTCCACTAGATCTCTTCGGGGTGGAAGCAGAAGCCCCCATTGACCAACACGAAGGACCTCGGTGGAATAGGAATTTCGAAAAGCCAACACTACGCCTCTAAAGTGAGGCACCCAGACAAACCAGCTAAAAGGCGAAACGCTAAAAGCAAAAGCTAAGGACGGTACAGTTTGGGAGCCCTTCTCAAGGCCCGCAAAGCGGGGAAAGAAGTGAGACCGCGAACGCCGAACCGTGAACCAGGCTGTAAAGCAAGAACAAATACGCAAATACGCACGCAAGAGTTTGAGAGAACTGAAACCTTACAAGGCTTTCCTTAGTAAGCACGGGTTTAACTGTGCTTATCCAGAATCCTGCAAACTATCACTCCAAAGGTTTCCTTTGCAACAGACTACGGCAACTCGGAGCTGATCAATACTCCTGGCCCCAAAATGACCATGAGTCACTTTTCCCATTTGGCGGTGAAAGTCACCCCATGCAAAGGACATTGATCGATTTCCGTAACTGCGACATTCTGAAAGTCTGCGGCCGCCAACTCGACTCCGACCCAACAATTTTCCAAATGTTCTCTTTCGCCGAGAGTCAGAGGACATCAGATCCCAGCGGCTGATGCTGAGCTGTTTCACCACGGGCGAGATGCCAATGTCCGCTGCAAGTCGCCTGTGCAAATGTCGCCAGTGCCCTTTGCATGACATAGGCCGCAAGCAAAATGTCCTTACAGCCAACAACTTGGACTTGGCCTCGTGACAGTGCAAAGCTTGTGGAGTTTGCAGTCCAAGCAGCGTGCATTGCAGGGTTTCGGTTCAGGCACGTTCGTAGCCATGTCGCACCGAAAGTTTGAGCGGCCTCGACATGGATCGTTGGGGTTTCTTCCCAGAAAGCGCACCAGGCAGGTGTGAAGCTTGCCGTGCGCTCTGATTTTGAGTCTTTGAGCATTGCAATGTATTGCAATGTGTTGCTGTGTCTCGGAGTGTTTCGATGTCTCAGTGAGACTGCGAGGCACCACCATGGCAAGATCAAGAGCTTTCCGAAGGATGACCAGGCGAAGCCGCCACATCTCACAGCCTTCATGAGCTACAAAGCAGGCATGACACACATTGTGCGAGAGGTAGATAGGCCAGGCTCCAAACTGCACAAGAAGGAGATCGTTGAGCCCGTGACCATCCTGGAGAGTCCGCCAATGGTGGTGGTTGGCTTTGTTGGCTATGTGGAGACTCCCCGCGGCCTTCGTGCCTTGACATCTGTTTGGGCTGGCCACCTGTCCGAAGAGTGCAAGCGCCGCTTCTACAAGACTTGGAAGGGCCGCAAGCACAAGGCCTTCACAAAATATGAGAAGCGATGGAGCGAAGCTAGCAAGGAGGGCACCCCCATGCAGGCTGAGGTGGAAAGGGCGAAGAAGTACTGCCAGGTGATCCGAGCCATTTGTCACACCCAGGTTCGCAAAGTGAAGATTGGCCAGAAGAAGGCCCACATCAAGGAGATCCAGGTGAATGGCGGCACCACCGAGCAAAAGGTGGATTTTGCGATGAACCTTTTTGAGCAGGAGGTGAAAATCGCTGACTGCTTCAGCCAAGACGAGACAATCGACATTGTGGGTACCACCAAAGGCAAGGGCTTTAATGGTGTGGTGACCCGCTGGGGAGTGACTCGATTGGTGAGGAAGTCACACCGTGGCCTGCGAAAGGTGGCCTGCATTGGATCCTGGCACCCTGCTCGGGTTTCCTTCCAAGTGCCTCGCTCTGGGCAGCGAGGATACCACCACCGCACTGAGATTAACAAGAAGATCTACCGGATCGGCAAATCCCTGAAGGATGACCCGGCGAACGCTCGGACTGACAATGATCTCACTGAGAAGGCGATCACCCCCATGGGTGGCTTCTCCCACTATGGTGAGGTCAACGAGGACTGGGTGATGCTGAAGGGCACCGTCATGGGCCCTCGCAAGCGCCTCATCACCCTTCGCAAGTCCCTCCTGCCACAAGTCAGCCGCAAGGCTTTGGAGAAGGTGACCTTGAAGTTCATCGACACCTCCTCCAAGTTTGGTCACGGACGCTTCCAGACAAGCGAGGAGAAGGCCAAGTTCTTCGGCGCTGCACTCAAGAAGGCCAAGACAGAGAAGGCTGAGAAGGCTGAGAAGGAAGAGGCGTAATTCCAAAAGCTGCCAAGAGACTTTCGAACGTGCCTGTGGAAACGCGCGGCCGCTCTAGCTGCACTTTTGGTAAGAGTCAGAGAAGCCTTACACCTAAGACACTGGATTGCATATTTGCAGGCTTTTGTACTAAGCTTTGCGCAGTCTCCAGAGGCCTGAGAACCAAGCTCGGTTCATGGACTCTAGCGGACTCCGATGTTTAGCGCAACGAGACACTGGTCCGCAGCACAACCTTGGTGATTCAAGCACGGTACCATTTGGGAACTAGGCGTGGCAATCAAACATCACAATTTCAAAAAAAAGGCCGCAAACTATCCATGACTGGAAGTTGTTTGCTTGAAGTGTTTGATTGCCGGCGAGTATGAACCTCACACCACAGTCTCATGGATTTGTGAGACTAGCGTTGACCAGCCTAGTCTGAACGCATGGTAGACATGGGCTGCATCCCAGATGCGTGTAAGATAGATGGCAGTTTTGCTTGTGCTATGTTTTGAAACTGCAAAGAAACAGGCGGAATCTACATATTGTATGTTCATATCCCACAATATCACACATCCTACATCTACGCGCCCCATATCTACACACTTGCGCGTGGCAACAGTCCCACACAACATCTTTGCGGGAATTGAAGACGTAAGAGCATTGGCCACACACGGCAATTTGTTGTCCTGGTGTAAGCGACTTAAGCCAAGCGATAGTGCAAAGCTTGTGGAGTTTGCAGTCCAAGCAGCGTGCATTGCAGGGTTTCGGTTCAGGCACGTTCGTAGCCATGTCGCACCGAAAGTTCGAGCGGCCTCGACATGGATCGTTGGGGTTTCTTCCCAGAAAGCGCACCAGGCAGGTGTGAAGCTTGCCGTGCGCTCTGATTTTGAGTCTTTGAGCATTGCAATGTATTGCAATGTGTTGCTGTGTCTCGGAGTGTTTCGACGTCTCAGTGAGACTGCGAGGCACCACCATGGCAAGATCAAGAGCTTTCCGAAGGATGACCAGGCGAAGCCGCCACATCTCACAGCCTTCATGAGCTACAAAGCAGGCATGACACACATTGTGCGAGAGGTAGATAGGCCAGGCTCCAAACTGCACAAGAAGGAGATCGTTGAGCCCGTGACCATCCTGGAGAGTCCGCCAATGGTGGTGGTTGGCTTTGTTGGCTATGTGGAGACTCCCCGCGGCCTTCGTGCCTTGACATCTGTTTGGGCTGGCCACCTGTCCGAAGAGTGCAAGCGCCGCTTCTACAAGACTTGGAAGGGCCGCAAGCACAAGGCCTTCACAAAATATGAGAAGCGATGGAGCGAAGCTAGCAAGGAGGGCACCCCCATGCAGGCTGAGGTGGAAAGGGCGAAGAAGTACTGCCAGGTGATCCGAGCCATTTGTCACACCCAGGTTCGCAAAGTGAAGATTGGCCAGAAGAAGGCCCACATCAAGGAGATCCAGGTGAATGGCGGCACCACCGAGCAAAAGGTGGATTTTGCGATGAACCTTTTTGAGCAGGAGGTGAAAATCGCTGACTGCTTCAGCCAAGACGAGACAATCGACATTGTGGGTACCACCAAAGGCAAGGGCTTTAATGGTGTGGTGACCCGCTGGGGAGTGACTCGATTGGTGAGGAAGTCACACCGTGGCCTGCGAAAGGTGGCCTGCATTGGATCCTGGCACCCTGCTCGGGTTTCCTTCCAGGTGCCTCGCTCTGGGCAGCGAGGATACCACCACCGCACTGAGATTAACAAGAAGATCTACCGGATCGGCAAATCCCTGAAGGATGACCCGGCGAACGCTCGGACTGACAATGATCTCACTGAGAAGGCGATCACCCCCATGGGTGGCTTCTCCCACTATGGTGAGGTCAACGAGGACTGGGTGATGCTGAAGGGCACCGTCATGGGCCCTCGCAAGCGCCTCATCACCCTTCGCAAGTCCCTCCTGCCACAAGTCAGCCGCAAGGCTTTGGAGAAGGTGACCTTGAAGTTCATCGACACCTCCTCCAAGTTTGGTCACGGACGCTTCCAGACAAGCGAGGAGAAGGCCAAGTTCTTCGGCGCTGCACTCAAGAAGGCCAAGACAGAGAAGGCTGAGAAGGCTGAGAAGGAAGAGGCGTAATTCCAAAAGCTGCCAAGAGACTTTCGAACGTGCCTGTGGAAACGCGCGGCCGCTCTAGCTGCACTTTTGGTAAGAGTCAGAGAAACCTGCTTGACCAGCCTGGCTCTAGCTTCATAGCTTCACAAATGGCCGTGGTGCATCCAGGCGCGCATAGAGCATAGGAGCATAAAAAAAGGCTGAGCACGGCAGCTTGGGGACGGAACTCGGAAAGTTTGCATAGGCGCTCGCTTCCGTTGCTCCGTGTCAGGGCTGCGGGGGAAGCAGCTCGAGGCGGAGCAGCTGAAGGCCGAGGCCCGGAGAAAGATTTCGGTCGATCCCGGCGCTCGGATCCATGTCTCCGTATCTCTCCGTCCGTTCGACTTCTTCGACTTCCGACTTCCGACGTTGCGAGGTGCAGGCGGCGCAGTTCCGGGCCCAGCAACTTCGACTGCGCCTGCAGGCCTGCAGGTCCGGCGTAAAAAAAACAGAGGCGGCAAGCAAGAAACAAGGAGACGTCTCTCGTGCTTCGCGTCCAGGCTCTGGGCGCCGACGCTTCCGTCGTGCCCAAGAAGATCCAGGAGACGGCGAAGAAAACATGTACTAATCCAAATTGGATTCGATCGTTTCGGTTGCTTTTCAGGCCGGGAGCTTGGTGGATCCCCAATACGAGCTTCGCTCTCTCTATGAGGCCAAGGTCAAAATTCAGAAGTGCAACACTTGAGGGCCCCAGGGATATCCGGGATATCCGGGATATCGGGAGAAAGAGACGCGCCAGTGGCTGGTGCAAGCTGCCCACCTCCAGCGACAAGTGGTCTTTGAATGCGGCAATGGAGAGGCGGGTCGCCCGGGTCGCCCTTTTGTTTGTCTCTGTCGCAGCTAGCTGCCAGGGTGAAGTTCAAGTTGGAGGTGGGATGCTTGCGAAAGCTGGCTGCCTATCTTGCACGTGCAGGTCGCCGTGTAGTGCTACACCGCATGGCAGGGCAATGTCGACTCGGTTGATTTCATATTTCGACTCGGTTTCCAGGTGACCTGGCAGCTCGGAGAGTCGGGCTTGAAGCTTTCTGTGCCTCTGGAGTTGCAGGCGGAGCGGAGATGGCAAGCGGAGAGTTGCATCAGATTTGCTTCGAGGCCGAGATCTCCAAGATGCTGACGGACGCGCGGCGCAGAGGCCCGACACGTGACCAAATCAGCGAGCCGTGGTTGGCTATCATTTGCATCGCATTTGTGTAAGGAAAGCAACAAAAGAAGTCCCGGCTTTGACGAGAGGTGCTGGGCTAATTTGGCAGGAATTTGGTCAAAATGATTGAACACCAGATATCGGCAAGCTCAGGCGAATGTATATGAGGCAGCTCTGAAATTTGAATCTGAGCACCCATCGAACATCCACAATTGGTAGGAAATCCAATCTCATTCAACCGAAAAAATGGCTTCTTTGTTCTGTAGGCATTTGGCTTTTTCAGAGGAACGAACCTGATCTCATTGGCATGACCTGACGGTGGATCAGGCATTGTACATGTGGAACACATAGGGGGTCCCCCAAAGCAGCGATTGGTGGCAGCTGCCCCCCAGGCAGTTTCAGCCTCAGACGCAAGCAAGCTATTTGGCACAAGTCTTAGCACGAAATCAAGTTGGCAACTCAAACCCAGCTACGCTAAATGAAATGGAGACTCAACATTGCGCAGATTGCAACTCTAAACCAGATGTTTGGTGGCTGATCAGTAGCTTGAGGGAGCTTGATTGTTTGGGGGGGGAGGGGGCTCGATCGATCACAGGTTGGACTAAGTTGGCCTTGAGTTGTCTTGTGACATCAGTTGGCGCTCATCCATGTACGAATTGTTGAGCTACCACCTTTTGTCGAAGGAAGCGGCGTCTGACATTAGTTGGGTTTGTCTCAAAAGAGGCCAGCCTCCAATCTTGGTGGTTGTCCTGTTTTTCTTTAAAACCACCCCAAAGGGTACCTTCAGAAAAGAGGCCGCATGCTTCTTGTGTAAAGTGAGTTTCCCATGTCTAAGCACAACCTGCGGGCTCGCTGGAACCCCGGGCAATGCCGGGCGAACAATGTAACAAGTCTGCTGAATCTTTGACAAATCGACTTTTCCGCTGTTGAAAGTGGAGCGGTGTCGCACGTCGCTGTGCTTTGGCGGTGCCCGGGTGTTTTGGTGTTGCGCGCGGAAAATGTGGGCGACAGTTCGGGGCGTCCTCGACGCGAGGCATTGACGAGGCAGAACTTCAGAGGCTCTGCAGCACCTGGGAGCTCCTGGGGGCCGAGGCTCCGAATTCCAACGTCGATTTCGATGTTTGCGGATTTCTTCGCACGTCTTCGGATTTCTTCGCATGCTTTTTCCATTGCATCTGTCGCTTTGAAGCTTCGCATTTGCTCATTGCTCCATTTGCGACTTGCCAGGTGGTCTCCGCCAGCATGGGTATGCCCGAGCCAGCCATCTTTTTGGTTCACCGGCAAACAGCTCAGGAGCGCGCGTGATCTTGCATGGCTTTCTGCAGAATTGCAGCATGCCTGCGCCTGCGCGACTCGCTGTCCCGCCAGGCTGTCGTGGTGGCAAAATGGCCCGCAGTTGAATTCAGGCGAGCGTTGCCAGATTTTCTTGTTTCTAGGGCCGGCGCTTCGTGAGCTTCGTGAGGCCGCCGCCAAGTTTCGACCCGCAGACTCATTTCAGGCGGCTTATCTCCAGGCTTGCGTGACGTTCGTGTTTGCTTCGCTCTTGATCCGTGCACCAAGGTCTCCTCAGAATGCCCAGCGCCGGCCGAAGTCAAAATGAGTGGATTCATATGATCCCATGTATGGCTTCATATGACTCATAATGTCCACCTATGATGAATAGAACACTCAGAATAAAGCTAAGCGCACCCCAGAAACAAACAATACCCCTAGCTAAAGTTAAGCTTTTGTCCCCTAGAAAAAATGGACCATGCCGAACCCCGTTTTCTAGGACCAAGTCCAGAAGCCAACAAAAAGCACAAGTTCTAGGTGTCCATCTTCATGATGATTTCTTTATTTAAAGCCTATCCAAAAAGCATTGTGAAGCAATCAGCCAAGGGTAACCCGCATACGGTTATTTGCACTAAATACACCATACCCTAAACAAAGCTAAGAGTGCGTTCCCTCCAAACATGTTTCACCCACTGATTCCAAATCGTTGGTGGCATTGTCAGCTCCCCTTTATGACAACCAAATATCAGAATCTTGAAGCCCTTTTTAAAGGCGCACTATTTCCACAAAGCGCTGTCCCTAAAGTTAATGATCTAGGCAACTTCCTGGAAATGGACGCAAATGCAAAAGCTTTTCAAAAGTAGCCCCTTTTGAAGAGTGCTGCCAAGCTTCCTGGAACTTGACTTATAAAACAACTCAAGAGAAGTATTGCCCTTTTAAAGCAGTATTGCCAAACTGGAATTTGACCCGCAATACAGCACCAAATCAGGAGTAGAATTGCCCGACTTTTTGTACCCTGACCGTAGTACAAAGCAATTCAAAGGCAGTATTGCTAAGCTTCCTGGGCTCCAACTCCAAAACATGTCACTTTGAATTCTAGATGATTTAAAGCAATCATGTAGCCTTATTCTTTCATTAATCGGAGGTGGACATCATTGTGTCATATGACATATGGATTCTTCTTTTTGCAAGGCCTTTTCTGGTAGGGTCTGGCTGACAGGCCCATCGCCGGCGACCGTGTGGAGGTGGAGTACGAGGTCGAAATTTGAGAGCAATGGCGCACCTGCCCCCAAAAAGAGTGTGCCAGGGCCGATGGTTTACAGGCACTCTTCAATCGGCTGCCGCCTAATCACACACACAGACATCACGAACACACATCACACACACACACACACTCACACGCTGCCATGTGTGCACATGGCCATGAGCCTTAGGTAGAGGGAGATGTCGTGAACGTGAAGTGTGATGATTTGCTGGCCTGGTTTGCGGACGGCTATGTGTCTTAGACCGCGGACGCTCTGTCAATTTGAGCAGCACACCTTCGCATTGCATAGCCATTGCTTGCGGAGTGCATTGCAGGTCGACTCGCCGGGTGTGATAACAGTGGCGCCTATTGCAAGCGTTTTTGCCCGAGATGTTGCAGAAAAATGAAGAAGCCCTCATTAGCAACAACTCAGTACGTCGCGGGTCCCAGGTGCGCCCAGCCCGGCGAGAGGCCAGATGGAATGTCAAGATCAGCGATGCCCTTGCGCAGCCAGGAGAGAAGAGACGCCAGGCACCGCCGGGCAAGGCGCGCCGGGTGAAAGGCGAGAGGTCTTTGTTTTCCGCACGAAGGTTTTTGCTTGCAATACTTGCCGTACCCGGTAAAATGACTGTGACAGGCCGACGCCCCACCCAAAACGATACTCCTGCAAGCAGCGCTGAAGTCTTCTGAATAAAGCCACACCGAATCCACCACACCCTGCAGTGCTCTTGGCCATGAGCCTACACGGCATGCATTTCTGCCGCTGAGCGTCAACTGCCGAGGGAGCCAAAAGCACAGGTAGGGATTGCGTCCCAAGAGTTCCTTGTGTCCAGCTGGCTTCGGTGTTGGAGTGCTGGTTGGTTTTTGGTGCTGCCAACCATGTGCCAAACAATCAGTTTTCCTTCATATCCAATTCGCGCATTGATGCTGGCAACCGTTTCTGTTGAGACAACAGATGCTAATTCTTTGTGTTGAAGCATATCCATGACATGCTAGGACATTCTGGGATGCTGACAGCTGGCGACCAGCATTGACAGAGACGGGGTCCGGGCATTCCTTGAGTTTGCTAAACGCGAGCAGGTTGGGGGTCTGGGGGTTAGGACATGACCAAACTTGCGCTCAAGACACCGGTGAGCCGGTTCTTGCTGCCGAGGGTCCTTGTCGATGCGGCTCTAGAACACGTCGCCCGATCTTCATACCGGAGCCAACTAACACGGCCGTCGTGCGATGGAGGCAATTTACGGATAAGCTGAGGTTCTCCTCAATTGCGATTATCCCGTTGCTTTGCCGGTCAGCGCAGGCCACTTCGAAGGGCCTGGCTCCGGTACTGGTTGATGCTGGATGCCCCTCAAAAGGCCAGGGTGTAGGCGGAGGAAGTTGAGGAAGTCCAACACGCAAAGGGGAAAGGCCTGGAGAATAACACGGACTTGTCCGGGCTATGAGTCCAAGGCAAAGGTTGTGGTGGAGCGAGACTCTGAGTCTGGAATGGGGCAAATGACAGTTGCCCAAAAGGCAAAGCTTTGAGGTGCTTTGTGTGAGTTGCATGTTTCCAGCATCCCATGGTTGAGAAAATCAATGCGTTGATGTTCAACGTAGTGGCACTCTTGATGACGTAGTGAGATGGCGTTCTTCTATCGAGCTTCCTTGAGACTTTTGTGTTTGTTTCCGCGTTTTGCTTTCCCGACTTCGTCCAGCAGTGCCAGCCTCATGAGACTCATCTTGAGTCCCGCAGCGCATCGATTCCAACTTCACGGGAGTCCCCGCAGCGACTTCTTACAACAACATGGAGATGCGCCGCACTTCTTCCAGGCGCTGCGCTTGTACGAGGCTGCGTCGCCGCGCGATGTCATTTACTCTTCCCATTTTTTTTCTTCTTTTTTTCCGACATCTTGTTTCTCTTCGTGATCGGCTACCTGATCTGAATGAGTTTCTTCATGACCAGACGACATTTCAACAGTCACCGCGAACATTCTGAACGGCATGAGTGGATGCGCGCTTGTGTTGTGGATTGACATGCTACAAAGATGTGCCTGATCGTGCACTTTTGCTGCTTGACATGTTTTGGGTGATTGTGCTGAGTTCGTGTGCTGCAGTTAGCGCTCAGGCTCGTCAGCTGCGGTCTTCCGTCGTGTGCATTATGGTGACACGCTTCCCGATTGTCTCAGTGCCTCACCATCATGATTTGCCAGCAGATGCCTGGAACATTCGACATGTCGACCAGGCTGTGCAGGAACGATACACCAAGCGCGCACAGCCGTGCGTGGCCCAGCTCTGCGTCCTGTACCTACATCCTCCAGCGGTACCTCCACCTCAAATGGATTCGTCCCTCTTCCACCACCCAACACGCAGGCTCATCCCATTCCTGCTCATCGTGCCGGACAATGGCGCTTACGCCAGCCATGGTTGTCACATCCAAGTCAACAACTTCAGCGCCGGGCCTTCCCCTTCCCGTCAGTGAATCTTGCAGCAGTTCTCGAGACCGGAGCTCGTTGTCGGCGATCTCGCCATGATCGATGCCCCAGAACTTGATTTCGCGCGTAGATTGTCAGGGCTGCGTTGGGGACGATGAGTCATTACTCGCGGCAAATGTGCTTTTCCCAGCTGTCGTGCGTTTCTCGGCCTTTATACTTGATTTGGCCGGGAGAAGCGGCGCGTTCCTTTTTGGGGAGCTTCTGACCGAGCTGCAAAACCTGAACACAGCTGGGCATCGCTGCGGGGGCGATTCAGTCCGGGACATCTTGGTTACTGCCCGCTGAACTGCTTACGACGCATGGACAAGCCGCAATGTCAGATACAATCCGGTAGGGGGGTTGGTTTACTATACGTGTGATCTTTCTGGGATCCGCTCAAGGATGTCACTGTCCGTACCTCTGGCGAAGGCCGGTTTCTTTACCTCGATTGTGGACTTGAAGTTTGTCATGGATTGTTCAAATCGAAACAAGACCAGAATCTCGGTTCTCGAGATTTCCGCTGAGCGCCGTCATTGCATCTTTGAAAAAATATGAAACCAAAGCGGCGCAGAAATCTCGACGGCCTGGTCACACGCCAATTCCACTGGTCCAAGACTCATGGCGGAAAGGCGAAACCCAAACAAGTCTCCCAATTCGACTTAGCCCGCGCACAAGCTATTGAGCAACGATTGCCTACGTCTAGACAGTGCTGACAGCGATTGGCATCTCCCTTTGTTGGGCGACATCAACCCCAAGTCAGACCCTCCGAACAATTCAGACTCAACAAGCCAGAAACGACGCCAACGCGATGCAGATCGTCAGCATATTGGTGGTTGCTTCCATTCGGCAAGATGCCAAAAGAAGGGCGACGTTTCATTTCTGATGCTTGCTTCTCGCTCCAGAGACATCTCCGGAATGTCTCACCGTGCTCATGTTGCGCAGTCAATGTCTTTTCGTGTTTCAAGTCGCTGTGCAACACTGTCTGCGCCGACTGTTTCATGGGCGTACCCCAAATTTATTTGCGTGCGGGATTTTCCGGCTTTTGAGCTTTCTTGTTGTGTGTGTGATTGGTCCCACACATCCACTGACGAGCGATTGTGCCAGCAATTTGGCTGAAGCCTCGTGATTGAGAATCTAGCCTGGCAAGAGAAAAGAAAGTTCTCACCGTTTGGGTCCACACCCGGTCCAGCAAAAGTGCCCGGTCTTCTGGCAGGAGAGTATCGGTCTGTCTTGGAATGTCTTTGAGGCTGTTCAGTTTCTTAAGTGATGTCGCTCGTGGATGTCTTTGCGGATGCCTCCCGAAGGTGTCTTGGGGGCATGTCTTTGGGGTCGATGTCTTTGTGGATTGCTTGGGATGGGGATGCCTTGGAACGAAACGGAAGCCGGACTCGCTGTCGTTACGTTGGTGGCATCGGGGCTTCAATTGAGGCTTGTCATTGCAGGTATCTTCGGGATGTCACTGGGGATGTCTTTGGGAATTCTTTTGGGGCTGCATCTGCGTTCGGGTTCGTGGCCTTGAGCAAAGAAGAAGAAGCGGGCCAAGACGCGCGATAGTGGTGTACTTCGCCAAATTAAACTTGGCCCCGAACAAAAGAAGGATGCAACCGTACAATTAAACAGCGCTATCAGTTGCGCATGATGCTCACGTTCGGTCCTGGCCCAACAATTCTTTGTCCGACGCTTGTTTCTCCCCCCAGCGCGCAATGAGCAAAATGCAAGGTTCAAACAACGCATGTTCGCATGTCAATTGGGCCTTGTGAAATTGCGAGCTGATATGTCGCATATGATATGTGGCGTTTGCAGGTCTTTCAGCTGAGATGGCTCCCACGTATGGGCCCTCTTTGGGACAGAAGGTCCCAACGGGATTTCATTTTCTTTTGCTGATTTCGAGCATTGAAGTTTAAAGTCCCTGAATTGGCCATGTTGGCCCAAGCGCCTTGCTTCCAGCTAGTGCAGCGAGTGCTCAGACTTGCGCAGAATCCGGCCTGCCGAAAGTTGCACGGGCCGCTTCATGGCGTTGTACATAGCGTGCAGCTTGCAAAAGCTTGCAAAGAGCAATGAGAGTGCCATGAGAGCGATGAGTCCAGGCAGTCAAGGCACTGGCGTGACGGCGTGTCGGTCCGCATTTGCTTTCAGGAATGACAAACATTTCGTGCAGCATGAACTGCAACACGGAACGTGCGGTAAGATGGGGCAACAAGCAGTAACATGCTGTGACAGAAGGCAACGGGAGCACGCGCTCGCTATGCGCTAGCTGCGCAGGAAGGGAAGTGAAGTGACTAGCTTTGAAGATGAGTTTGAGAGAGGGCGAGCGCATTGCATTGCGCCAGATGCCAGCGCCCCGAAAGCGCAGTGAGGAGACGCGCCGTGCTGAGGCAAACACGCCATGTGAGTCACTTGTTTCTGTAGGAGGATGAAAGCTCCATTCCACACTCGCCGAAACAGCAGCCGGTGCACCTTGGGGTTGGTCGCAGCCCCTTGTTGAACGACTGCACGGCTGGCAAGGTGCCAAACCGCGTGCCTGCAGGCTGTGCGCGCATTTGCTTCTTTCTAGCATGGCGGCTTGTGACAGGACCTCTCCTGCTGTCCCGCGGGCCAAAGGCTTTTGAATTTGCTTTGGTCGCCTTCATTCACTTTCTAATCCACGCGCAGGGACGAAGTGGCATGTCAATGCTACCAGAGGAGAGACGGGCCATTCGTCAAGCATGTTGCTATATTTCTTGCGAGGACCGCGAAGTGGTGCCAGAGCAACCCATGAAGTCAGGTGGGAGAGACGGGCATTGGGCCATTTCTCTTCAACAGGTCCAATCTGTTTCCACACTCTTCCCACAACAGTTCCTACACTGTTCCCACGCAATCAACCGCGCTCTGCATTGAGGCGAATGCTTTCGCCTACGCCAAGTGAGTGTGGAGGCGCTGCTACAGGAGAGTGTGGAGCGTGCGTGTCTGTGTGTGACTTGTGTGTTGCTTGCATGCGAGGACGGCACCTTGGGTTTGTTGCTACATGGCACCTCAGTGGTGGGCTTCTGTAGTGAAGATGCTGCCACCCACGGCTGGCTGGAGCCCCAACGAAGCCCCAACGCGACAGCACATTGCAAATTTGCCATCCTTGTTTTTCTCTACTTCTTCTCCTTTTCTCTTCAACTTTCTCCTCTTTTCGTTTTTCTCGTCCTCTTCAATTTTCTCCTCTTTTCGTCTTTGGGTTTCTCTCGTCTCGTCTTTTGTTTTTCTTCCCTAGTCTACTTTTGCGTCCGAGGCGTGTTGGGGATCAGATCGTGGAGATCAACGGGCGGCGCGTGGCCGCCTTCGAGGAGTTCCTGGAGCGCTTCCTCGCGGCCCAGCTCCAGGCGGGACATAGAGAGGGGGATGATCCGGGATGATCCGGCAGCGGGGAATGGGAGGAATGGAGAAGGGAGGATGGAAGGAAAGAGGGAAAGAAATAGAAGAGAAATAGAAGAGAAATAGAGAATGCCGAGTACAGGAGACGGGAGGGGAAAGACGGGAAGAGAGATAAAGGAAGAAGCGACGAGAGAAGAAAAATCGACGAGCGACGACGAGTGGGAAGAAACGAGACAGAGGCGAGAGAAAAGGAGAGACGAGAGAAAGGAGGAGAAAGACGAAGCAATTGGATAGAAAGGCGACTCGAGAGAAAGGAAAAGTGAAGCGGTGCAGAAAGATGATTGCGAACAAATCGAAGACAGAGCAAGTTAACATGTCATGAAAGTTCTAAAGACATATGCGTTTTCTATTTCTGACTTTGCATTGCAAAGGCAGCTCGAAATGAATGGGCATGTCAGCAAGAGCAAGTGCAAGTCCATTATTCGCCCAGCTTTCCGCCAGGGCTTCCCCATCACCTTCAGCGTGCTGAGACGCGAGATTCCGGATGATGAGGGCAAGGCGGCCGAGTTCCGAACAAGAAACCCCAGACTCAGAAATCCGAAAGACGCAGTGACGCAGGACCCGTTGGACAACTTCTTCAACGAGACCAAGTTCGTGGACTTGGCCAGCCAGTCACAAGCTCAGCTGCGTCTTTTGAGACGGTGAGACGTGCTGCGTGCGAGGCTGAAGAACAAGTTCGGCAGCTCTGAGCCCAGGAAAGCCCCGAGCCCCACGGGCGAGTCGATCATGGAGAACCCCTACATCCAGGCGGGGCAGGGAAGAGACTGAAGAGCCACTGAAGAGAGGCACTGAAGCTAAGCAACAGCAGGCAACAATTAGCAGGCCACACCCGGTGTCGGGCAACCATTTGATCGAGGCCTTGCGGAAACGCCGCAGCGAGCTGAGCCGAAGCCCGGAGGGGTGGCCGGGGCCTCACTCGTCGCTCGCTTGGTAGACACCGGCATTCGTTTAGGAGCGACGAAGGCGAGTACCCGGCCTGGGCCAAAGATCTTGAATTCATTCATATGAAATGCCTTGGCTTTCACCTATCAGGATTGATCGGGATTTGCATTTCGCATGCCGTTCTCCAAGTCCTTGGCCGCGCAGATGGCCTCGGAGCGCTGCGATGCCTTGGCCACGTTGCAGGGGCCAAAGCCTCGCGCGCTCGCGAGAGAAAAGAAGAGCAAAGAAATGCAAAGAGAAGAAATGGATGAATTCAGAATAGACACATTAGAAGATGTGAAGAATTTGGAGAAGAAAACAAGGAGAGAAATTGAGCTGGAAGCCAGATGATCAATCAAAAGGTTGAATGGGTAATGGACTCCACTCTATGAGAAAATTGTATTTGTGTAAATGGTCGTGCAATAGAGCCGCGGCGCGCATTTGTTTCATGCCCCGTACATTCCGTGCTGTGCCCCCTCGACGCAACAAAATGCCCCGGCTGCATGCCCTTCTTGCTTGCTGTGGACCTCTAATGCACAAGCACTCATACCCGGAATCCGAGACCGACTCAGGTCCAAAGCCTCAGACACACCCCGGAGGCGACGGGAAGCGAGAGACTCACACGAGCTGGAGTCAGAGTCGAGGTTCGATCGAGAGCCGAAAGAGCCCCTGGGAACCATGGGCTTGCCGGCACCTTGCGGCCTTGCGGCCTTGCGGCCTGCCTGCGCGCGACTGCATGCGCGATGCACGCATGTACGCGGCTTAAGGTCCACTTGCATCAGCGCCTTCAGACCATGCCGAGGGGAGGCGCAGGCAAAAGCCGTGAACGCAAGAAGGGGAGTTGTGAACAGGAAGAATTCCGCACGACACCTCGGCGGGACTGTGACTACGAGGCAATTGGCTGGCCATAAATGCTTTACAGTTTTGGCAGTGCATTGCCAGATGGATGCCAAGGTCTCTACCTTAAGATCTTGCTTTCAAGTTGTCTCGTTCGACTTGCGCAAATGCTTGAGTGCTTAAAGCTTCATTTAAGGTGCCTGCTCCAAATGCTGTGATCCTCAGTGCTCGAGGAGAACTTTCACAGGAGCCCTCTCATTCAATGGCAAGTGGTTTATCCACGGTTAACATGCGTGACCGTCAGGGCGACAGATGAGAGGCCGTTGCAGACTTGCGTCGTGCAGCCGCATACATTGTTGTTTGCTTTTGCTGTGACTTGTGGCAAGCTCGCCGGTTCGCCTGCCGCATAGCTTCACAGATGAACAGCCACACTGTGCATTTGAACAGAGTCAGGCTGTCAGGACTGCGGGAAGCAACGAAGC